TTCACCTCCACCTCCACGTGGAAAACCTGCAGCGGCCTGTCCACGATCACCTCCAGGTGGATGCTGCACTCCGCGCTCCGCCCGCACAGCTCCTCCCGGTCGATCCGAGAATTCACAAACAAAATGCCATTCTGCAGATTCACCTCCAGAAGGTCCCCGCGGTCCTTTGACGCCACCCGGAACAGGCGCGGCACCAGCTCCGCCAGCTCCAGCCCCAGGTCCTGAGCGATGCGTCCCACGAAGGTGCCGTGTTTGGCCTCCTCCGGGACAGAGTAGTGGAGCTGGCCGCTCCCCGCCTCCCAGAATGCGAGGAGCAGAAGCGAGAGCAGCAAACACCGGGCTTCCGGGCTGCTCCATCTGAAGACCATCTTACCTTTCTCTTGTTTTACAAATCGATGAATCCGCAGTCTAGAACGCACACACGTTCTGATATTTCCTGTACGATTCCTTACATCCACTTTTTATCGAAATGGCTGAGATCTCAGATTGTAGCTACTTCCTAGTCCTTGAGAAACGGTTACGCCTTCGTTCTGAAAAGCTATTTTGTGGACGACAGCGACATCCGGTGGTTTTATGTGTAAGTACAATTAAATAGTTCACAACTTTTCTTTCATTCATATATTTTAATTCTCTTTTTTGCGTATTTTTATCTCTATGGACTTTCAAAGCTTCACATTACATCTCTTTTGTAGATAACAATGATCAGTGTAGATCCTCAGTGCAACTTTTTAAAAATGTAGAATCTCGAAGAAGTAATTCCTTCCCTAACTACATGATTATTGCTAGCTAAATTTCAAAATGCCCTTAATATTTGCATACCAGAGTGTACTAGTATTCTGTCCGATAATAAGTTTAGATCTCTTTAAGTTCTGATAATTCACTTCTCTTTCTCATTAATTTGAGATTCGATAAACCTCATTTAGACATTTATTCTCAATTGTCAATTATCTGTCAGGTGTTTGTAATTCCTAATTCTAGCAATCACTAGAATGTAAAGAGATTATTGGATTCAACATCAGACATGTATCCATTTAGATTCCTATCATACTACTTACTAGCCATGTGACTTTGGGAAAATCATTTAACCTCTCCCTGCCTTGCTTTCCACTTTTATAACACTGGTACAATAGTAACATGGTGGTTGTGTGAATGATGACCTATTAAATGCCCAAAATAGTGCCTGAGGAAAGTGAGTACTTCATAAATGGGAACTATTCTCAGACCTCAGTTTGACCACATTTTTTTTCATGATGTTTAAGACCAAATTTGGTTCCTCAGGAAAAATTATTACCTATAGAATGTTGTCACTCTACAATGGCTTAATTATTGCTACTGCACAGGATGAGGATGGAGATTCCTGTCTTTAAGAAAACAGAAAAGTACTTTCATTGATGAATCAGTTATATAGGGAGAAATTGTACTTTATATCTTACCTAGGCAAAAACAATCTTAATTATGATTCTAAATAAATTAACAAATTTATGATTTCCACTTTCAGAGGTAAGTGCTTTCATCCCTGTTATATTTAAGTTTTTCAAATACCCAAAAGATGCCATTCTTGATTTTATCTAATAATTTTATCAATGTCAATAAAGTTTTTCACCACCACTTGCAGTAAAAATATTTTTTGCTATCTCTCAAAGTTCTTGGAATACTTAAGAATCAAAATTCTTGGCCAGGCGCGGTGGCTCACGCCTGTAATCCTAGCTCTCTGGGAGGCGGAGGCGGGCGGATTGTTTGAGCTCTGGAGTTCGAACCCAGCCTGAGCAAGAGCGAGACCCCGTCTCTACTAAAAATAGAAAGAAATTAATTGGACAACTAAAAACATATAGAAAAAATTAGCCG